GGCTCCATGATCATTGCAGATGGAGACAGCAGCCACGAAATTAAAAGATGCCTGCTTCTTGGGAGGAAAGTGATGACAAACCTTGACAGCATCCTAAAAAGCACAGACATCACCTTGCCAACAAACGTCCACATAGTCAAAGGTATGGTTTTCCCTGTAGTGATGTATGGAAGTGAGAGCTGGACCATAAAGAAAGCTGACTGCCAAAGAATTGACGCTTTTGAATTGTGGTGCTGGAGGAGACTCTTGAGAGTCCCCTGGACTGCAAGGAGAACAAACCTATCAATCTAAAGGAAATCAACCCTTAGTGCTCACTGGAAGGACAGATCCTGAAGCTGAGGCTCCAGTACTTTGGCCATCTCATGAAAAGTGAAGACTCCTTGGAAAAGACCTTGACGTTAGGAAAGTGTGAAGGCGAGAAGGGGACGACAGAGGATGAGATGGTTGGACAGTGTCATCGAAGCTACCAGAATGAATTTGACACAACTCCGGGAGGCAGTGGAAAATAGGAGGGCCTGACGTGCTCTGGTCCATGGGGTCACAAGAGTCGGAAACAACTAAACGACTAAACAACAATTACATAATAAATTTCAAATCTGAATTTTTTCACTAATTTCAACTTTGATTTAAGTATTTATGCATATTTATTTACATTTATAAGGCAGCAGCACCAGAGAGGTCAGATCTGTGATTTTCTGACTGCTAATAATCTGACATTAATTTTCTTAATTGTTAATTTCAGCTCTCAAATAACGTAAATTTTTATCTTCTACAATCAATAATCCTCTACAATAAATAATCTGCAATCACATGGGAATAAGGCAGCAATTGAAGGTTTCTAAATAAAATTTACACTGACAAAAAGGCTTGCATGTTACCTTAGTGAGGTTCCTCTTACAGATTAAGGTGTCTGCTGCTGAATTTCATTAGGAAACAGCAACTTTTAAAAATCATTTTTCAAGGGAGCAAGGGGATATAAAAAGGACTTGAGACTGTGTATGGCCCACTTTGCCCACTCCTGTCCTAAACATTTTGTCCAACCCTACCCTAAACAGTCAGTCTACAGCTGTAACTGCCCCACTAAAAGGAAGGCTACAAACCTGCCTCATCATCAAGTATGAGTTGCAAATAAGTTATAGTTTGCACATTTCTGCAATGTGAACATGTTTACACTGAAGAAATCTGAAAACTTTTTTCTATATAAACTTTTGATTCAGAATGTGCAAGAATGTGCTTAGGTTTCTTTATTGGATATATATTTCCAGATGTTTTAAGTTCCTGATGTTTAATACAGTATGCTTTTAAAAAATAAAATTGGGAATTGTGATTATAAGAATTTGACAGCTTCAGAACAAAAACCTCTGCTCATTTCCTCATAATTAAGCCTACTTAGGCTAATAAGACTTGCTCTCTAGTCACTACCTTTTGAATCTGTACGTTGCTCACTTGTAGAGATGGACATGAACGACCAGTTTGGTGGTTCAACGTGGTTCATTTACCACTCCAACAGATGTTCAGCAGTTTGACACCTTACTCAGCAGGCACCTACTCAGAGGCAGTGCCCAGAGAAGGTGGGAGAGGGAAGCTGGGATGCCACCTCTGAATAGGTGCCCACCAGGGGAAACAGGACACTAAATCGCTCAACACTTGTTGGGACAGTAAATGAACCACGCTGAACCAGCAGGTTGTGCCTATCTCTACTCACTTGTACTCCTTTCATAAGAGTCTATAAATTTCACCAGCCATTCTCACAAGCATCTGTGATACTAAGTGATCCAAATACACTAGAGAAGGTTTCAAAAACTCATTTATGGACTGAAATTTCATTTGTGTGTCAAAATGCTGACAAACTGCCAATAAGCACAGCTACAGACATTTATTTAGTATACAAATGTTACATGGGTCTGTCTCAAACAGTAGGGAAACCTCGCTTTACAGCACTCTTGGTTTTGTGAAATTTCCAGCTGCATGAACTATTGCTAATACATTCAGTCACCCAAGATTAGAGACAGCTGCAGTTAACAGAATCTGCTTCTATTAGATACTTTAACACAGAAGCTTATGAGAATACAATAAGAGCATAAATGATTAAAATAATAAGATGAAGGATTTTAAGGCACTCGTGCATATGAACAAAGTCCTATTTGGAAAATATTAATATAAAATTTATTGGACAAATATTTCTAGACATATTTTTAAAGCCACATACTTTACAAGTACATAAGTATGGACAGGACATGTCAGTGCTTATGCAACTAACATAGCTAAGAAATGTAGTTTCTGTCAACACACTTTATTAAAAGGAAAACACTCAAAGCAATTTACAGCATCAAGACTGAAAAACTAACAAAAACTAATATCAGTTATGAAGTTGGAAGGGGCCTATAAGGCCATAGAGTACAACCTTCTGTTCAGTGGAGGAATACAACTACAGATAAAATAAGGCAATGAGCACAGTCACTGTACCACTGTTGAAGACAGAACAAGAGGTTTCTCAACCTATCAACAGCAGAATTTCCATGAAGAATTCTAGATTTACAGTATTCTCCCTCTCTTGTGGGGAAATCAGGCTCATTATACTTGTCCCAAAGTAACAGCTGAAAAGAGAAAATCTTATTTACATTATTTTTATATCAGCCTATAACAAAAATTATCTGGGTAGCTTACAACATAAAAATTATCACATTACAGTACTGTCAAAGTGCAATGAGAATGATATTAAAAGCCAGTTATCAAAACAGTTCATCTGCCCTTGGGAACAAAAACCACAGAATGAGATCAACAAACAGCAGAATAACGGCTTAGGAAAAGTAGTTGGTCTTAGTTTAGTGCCTCAACACTGCAGCAACACAAGCCACGCGTAACAGGGCATTCCACAGTTTAGCATGGATGCCACCAAAAGTATCTTCAATCTCCTAGTTATCCACTCCCTCACTGTCCCTCACTAGCTGGCTTCTGAGCACCATGTTCTAAACCTGCTGCTTTCCAGATCCAAGTCCACCCAAACTATCAAGGCCTCTACACTGGCAAAACACGAACAAAGGCATGACATGTGCCTGCTCCTTTCTTCCTTCACACTTTCTCAGAACCGAAACGAGGCACCGCTGCCTGTGCCTGGCCCTGGCCCTCCTCCCAAAGAGAGTGAAAGCGGATGAAGGCCGGCTGGGAGGAAACCACACCGCCGGCGGCGGTGCCCTCTCTCCCTCCACTCAGCAAGCGGAGCAAGTCTAAATGCGGCGCGAAATGAAAGGAGCCGGGAAAAAAACCATTGAAGCAGGTTGGAACCAACGGGAGGAGGGTCGGCAGAAAAGGGAAGCGGGAACGGGGGAGGGAGGCCCAATCCTGCCGTCCTGGAAGAAAGGGCTGCTCCCCTTTGGGACGCTGGTGTCCTGCAGAAGCCGGGGAAAGCCGGCCCAGGGGACGACGGGGGAGAAGGGGGCTTTGGCTAGAAACCGGCAAGTCTGTTGCCATGAAGCAAGGGGGCCCCGTGGGGTTCCCATGACAGCCGGGTGAGACGAGGGCACGCTCCCTCCCTTGCCGAAGTCCGCTCTCCGGCGCCTCCGCCTCGAAGCAGGCCGGGGAGCCTGGGCAAGCCTCCTCGAAAAGTCAATCCAACTGAGTTCAGGGACCCTCATGCCCAAGGAAGGGGCGAATCTCGCCTCGGAACCTCACACCGCCTGAGGCCCCGCTAGGCCGCAAATCCCTGCGCGCCTTTCCTCAAACACCCCCCCCCCAAGCCTGGCTCAACCAGGCCGCAGCACCCAGGCCCCCTCTCTTCGTCTCCGGGTCGGGTCTGGCGAAACTTAGAGGTGGGGAGGGAAGCGGAGGGCGCTACAGATGCAGCTCCCCACCCACTCCCCGCTCACCATTGTGGTCCATGATTCGGTGTGGGGGACTCTGGGACAGGAAGTCCCCGCCGTGCTCCGGGAATGGTGACCCGGGAAGTGAAAGGTGGCGACAGGAAGACGTTAAAGGGAGACTATAGAAGTACAGTAGTTGATTATAGACTGACAGGACCCATTTCCTTGAGAGGGCACTGCTTGGTGCCTTTATAAAGAAGCGAAAGCTGGGCGTGGAAAAGAAAACACCTCGTTTCCTGTAACTGGGATGGGGAGTAGCGGCGTTACTCTCTATTGAAAAAAGCTAAAAAAAATAGCAGGACATTGTTTCTAACTTCGTTCTTGTTTCACTTGGAAAATTTTATTCTAAACGCATTCATGTCCTGTAAACATAAATTCCAATGTCATCCATGATTTCCTGATTTTTTTCTGTTGAAAGATAGAAGGATAACTGTGTGTTATGTGTCGTCAGCTGGCCCCCAACTTATGGCGACCCTAATAGGGTTTTCGAGATAACGTGAGATATTTAAGGGTGGTTATATACAACAGCTCCGCACACGCCCCCGGCCGCCAGTTCCCATGGCCGAGCAGGAATTCGAACCCAGGTCTCCGGAACCTTTTACGCTATCCCCCACACTGGCTCCCGTCATATCGATAGTTCGTAGGCAAAATTAAAGGATGGGCTGAGGCTGGTTTGGATTTGTAGCCTGACAAACTCTTCCAGCAAACCAGACAGCAGATTTCTGCAAATATACGTTCAAGTTCCCCAAAACGAGTCCAAGCGCTCATTCTGCATGTGAAAATGCGCTTTTTTGCTTGTATGCGTCCGTGTTACACATTTAAATCTTTAATAACATAAAGAACAGGGTTTTTTTTCTCCACAGAACACAAGATGTGAACTTTAAAAAAGAAATTCGTTCAGTTTGTGCTACTATTCGCAGGCGCGCTAAAGCTCTTTTCCTAACATTATTGTCTTTTGCAGACAGTAAAACTTGGGGATACTCCACTATTTTAATAGAAATTTTGGTGCGACTTTTATTTCTCACGGAAATTAATGTCAAAGTGAACCCGGAAGCCAGAAAGCCTGTTCACATATATTTATAAGTCTACGGGTGGCCCTATTGAGGAAACTGTTTTTTATCCCGATCCTCTTATAGAGCTAAAATATTAGAGTGACAATCATGTGCGATACTTCCGACGCAGACTCGATCTATTTCCGCAGCAAATTTCTAAGGCAAAATATGTCACCCTGAGCGCCCACGCTGGTGCAGACACTTTTCGTGTCGTCGATAGCCTCTTATTCCTCTATTCATTTCTTCTTTTCCTCTGGCAAGGAACGTGGCACCGGAGCACAGAGAGGCCTTGGAGAAAACTTGAGAGGACAACTGTGCTCTGATTTGCACCCACCCGTGGAAAATCTTTTCAGCCCTGGGGAAGAGTGAAGAAAAAGGGGCAACGAAACATCCAGAAACCTGGAGCAACTTCCCGTGAGAGACCCAGAAAGGGTGATCAAGGCAAGACGGTCTCTCTCCCTCTTTTGGATTCCGGAATCAGCCAATGAACCAAAGTGCTGGGAAGATTCAGGTCCGATTAAAATATGTGTAGCATTATACCGAAATTTGCTACCCCAAGATGTAGGGATGATAACTGCTAACCTGGCTATTTTAAAAACAGATAAGATAACTTCAGGGTGGGACCGACTACCCTTGATGGCTATATGGTAACGAAATCAGAGGCAATGTGCCTCTGAATATCAGTTGCTGGGGAACCCAAGCCAAAGGATGCAATTTTGTCAGCTTCATTGGTTGATCTTGGGTTCAAATACTATGTGCATGTGAAAGAACTCTCTCTCTCTCTCTTTTTACTTGCTCCACTTTATGTACAGTAACTTTTGGTCTTAGGCCAATTAGTATTTTTAGGCTGATCTACCCCCACACAGCTGTTGCAAAGGTAAGGGTGATGTGGCAGTAGGCATGCCACCCTGAGCTCTTTAAAAGAACGACGGCATATAAATCAGTGTCTGCTGTTTGGGAAAAGAAGAACTGGACATTTGAGCTGACCAGTTTCAGATCCAATTTCACCTACCCTCATGACTTGGATGTTTTCTCCCCACCATCCACCCTCCCCCATAGCTTCCACCATCACTGGCCACTGGGACTAGTGGCAATTGTAGGCCACTGATCTAAGCCCAAAACATGTTATGTGGAATTAAACAGAAAGAAGAGAGAAAGTGAGGTCCCATCAGCATATTGGTGGAACCATGCCCTGGAACTCCAGAAAACTTGCCCAGTGGTTTCCTATAGGTGTTAAAGAACAATAACAATTTTAATTTTGTAAACCAGCAACTTGGGTATAGTCTAGTAGAGGAAAAAAATCTCTATTTTAGCATAAATTGTTTTGACACCACTCTGACATTATAGAATATGGCTAGCATTTTTGCTGAACTTTAACATGAAAACCAGAAAGTATTGATCAAAGCAGAATATTAAGGAGACGAGACAACTCTGAGCTGGCTAGACAGTTCAGTGAGTTAGTTATCTGGCTGCAGAGCCAGAGACCAGGAATTTAATTCCCCACTGTGTTTCTTGCAAATAGAGTCAACCTGTGTGGCCTTGGGCATGCTGCACAGTCGCGGGACTCCCAGAAGAGAATGGTGAGCTACATCTGAGTACTCTTTAACTAGAACACCCTGAAAAGGGTTGCCAAAACTCAGAATTGACTTCATGGCACATAATTATTACTAAGACAACCCTGCTTGTGGTGAACAAAGTAATGTCCTAAATGTCTATGTGCATATTTTGTACGCTATTGTCTAAAGAAAGATGAGGTAAGTGTTTGTTTATTTTACGTTTCCTTTTGTTTTGTATTTTGCAGACGTGGCCTGATAACTCACACAATCAGTCCAGAGAAATTATGCATTGTCCAATAAGAAGTCCAGTTGACTTGTTTCATTCTGGGTATATTGTAAAAATATGTGCTCCTATGGTTAGATATTCGAAGTAAGTGACCTTTGCAGAGTGAATCTCATTTATCTCTGTGTATACTTCAGGAGTGTGATAAACCAGTTCAGGAAAATAACTGGTTTTGAATTAACTGAGTTTGGGAATGTTTTGTCAAGGATATGGTCTTCTGCATCTGCTGTGACATAAATGACACATGGAGCCAGTTTGCACAAGAGCTTGGGAGATCTGTGTACTTAAATTTTGCTCTGGCTGGTAAAAGTTCATTTGAAAATATTTTAACACTTTTTCTTATATGCAAAGTGATCCTATTGCGATGCTGTTCAAATAAACCTTGAAAACGTACAACACTTTGGCTGAAATCTTGTTGTGCTCTTATGCAAATAACATAGTTTTAAGATGTCAATTGCCACAAATTAAGGAATCCCTGTAGACATTATCTGTTGCATGCTGAGTTGCATGATCAATGATAATGTCTACACTGATTTCTTAATTTATGGCAACTCATGTCTAAAAGTTGCATCATGTATCTGCACAACAGGATGTCAGCCTTTGTTTACCAAAATGTGTTTTTAAATAATTACCATGTATTTATCACAAATATTCTTGTACTTCCAGATTACCATTCAGAACTTTAGTCAGGAAATACAACTGTGATTTATGCTACACTCCAATGATAGTTGCAGCTGATTTTGTCAAATCTGTGAAAGCGAGACACAGTGAATTTACAACAAACAAAGGTATTGTGCTGGCATCCTGTTAGATTTTTGATGAGTTATAAAAATACCAGTTTTCTCCCATCTGTGAAAACCATTTAGCTAGGCACTAAATACATTCTAAAATTCTACAGGATATAAATTTTGTGTCAAGTTCATGAGGGACAGAATTGTAATCGTAATCATGTTAATCACAGAATAAGTGGCATGATTAGTTGCAGCAGCATCTTCTCCATAAAGCACACCAACTCATGCCATCCTGTTCTTCATTCAGAGGTAGCTTTCTATGCAGCTAGAGGCCGTCTCATTCCTCTGTTTTCTATTACTGCCTGATGTTTTCAGAAGCTTGATTGCTAGAATAAAGCTGTGAAAGAATTGTTCTGGCACAGCCTCCCCTTCCCCCCAATTCCTTTGCATCTTGTACCTCTTAAGTGTTCTGCAGAAACCGTGGAGAGGGGTGAAAGTGCATCCTTGAGCTACATCACCCCATCCCATCTGTGCGTCATTCAGACTTTTTTGTGTTCAATACAAAGGTGTGCAGAAAAGCTAACAAGTGTGTTCAGCTGAATACACATTCTGTACAGAGTTCCTTTTATCACAAATGCTAATCAAGGCAGGGCTCTGAATCAATGGGAGCTTGGCGAACACATTCACCTGAACATGCTTAACACTCAACACACAAAGATTTATAAGACTTCTGGTTGGAGGAGCATGGATGCAAGGCTGACATGTGCATCCGTGGCTCCACCACCCATTCACCTCTCTCCACAGTTTCAGGCCCAATATCACAATAACATCTAAGTTCAAGTATACTTGTTCAAGTATACTATAAATTCAGCCACAGTCTCTCCAGTTCAGCCATCTGTTGCAGTGTGTTTATAGTAACACCAACCTAACCCATAAGATTGTGGTTAGGGTTTTAGGGTAACATATATGAAGTACCTTTGATTGTCTAAAAATGCTATGTAAATGCTAGGTTTTATCTTTCTTTTGCAGAAGAAGAAAAATTCATTCAGAATAAAGGGTATGATCTCATGCTTTGCCAATGCTTTTGGTGAAACATTTCTATTATACGAAAGTACACATTAGTATTATATTATGAATAAAATCACTTGGAACCTAATATTAGGTGAATTAATAACATTCATTTCCTATTCTGTTTCCTATTCTGAACAGTTTCCTATTCTGTCCCCTTTGCCAATCAGAGACAATATGGAATGGGGAGGCTGGTTGTGCAGTTTAGAACAGACCTCCACCTGATTTCTAAAAGTCCTTCTTCCCCCGAGCAGAACTTCCTTAATAATTTATGTTTTGAATCACTGTGTTGTAGATAGATAATATTGGTCATTTATTAGAAAACTTTATTTTCACAGGCGACCGCCCTCTGATTGTTCAGTTCGCTGCTAAAGAAGCACAAGTCCTAGCAGATGCTGCTTGTATTGTCAGTCCTTTTGCAGATGGCATAGACCTAAACTGTGGGTGCCCACAGAGGTAAAATGTAAATGAATTCAAACAGCATATAGTAGAGTCAACTTGTTGTTGTTTAGTCGTTAAGTCGTGTCCGACTCTTCGTGACCCCATGGACCAGAGCATGCCGGGCCCTCCTATCTTCCACTGCCTCCTGGAGTTGTGTCAGGTTCATGTTGGTCACTTCAATGACAATAGAAGCACTTAGTAAAGTTTATATTTGTTTATTTTCAGCACTTAAAAGTTCAGTTTCAAGTCTCTCCCGGTTGATCCATGGCCACCATAGCAGAAAGTCTTTCAAATAACTTGGCCTCAAGCCATTTCTCCTATTAATATCACTACGTTATGATACAAAATCAGAATAGACTGTTTATAATTTGTTGGGAAAAAAAGTACCTCTGCTTCAGTCCCCCTCATCTGTCACAGCCAAGCAGATGAACTCCAGCAAATAAAAACATTTTAATGGCTTAGGAAAGACCAAAAAACAAAAACAAAAACCTTCTACCCTCCTAATGTATTGAAATAGCAAAACAGTAAAATGCTTTAAAAAGATAAAGATTTTAAAAGAGCATTTTTTAAAAAAAAAAAGCAACAATGGCCAGCTCTTACACTAACAGATTGCTCAGTCCCCATTTCTCATTATTTCATTATTTGAAAAGAAACCAACAATACCAATTGAAAGTCTAGCCTGGTTACAAATTCAATACTGTAGCTGTGTGGCTAATCCAATTCACTTCAGTAGTTAGACTCCATGTGTTCAAAGAAAATGTGGTGGACTGAAACTACCTATCACCAAAGGCTACATCTCATCATAATGGGCATCCTTCAGTCTCGAGAGACTATGATAACATGCTCAGAATAGAGGTCTTGGAACAACGTCTAGTGTGGCTGAGAAGGCCAATTTGAGAGTAACAATCCCTTCCACACTGAAGACAAATGCAGTCTGTCCTCTGCCCAGCTCCTTGATTTTGCTGGTTTCGGTACTGCCTCTTTGCCTCAGCCTGCTGGACAAGGGTCTCTTCAAAATGGGAGAGGCCATGATGCACCAACTGCCTCCAGGCTGAATGCTCAGATGTCAAGGTTTCCCATCTGTTGAGGTCCATTCTTGAGACCTTCAGATCCTACTTACAGATATCCTTGTATCACAGCTGTGGTCTCCCTCTGGTGCGCTTTCCCTGCACTAATTCTCCATACAGAGATCTTTTGGAATCCGACCATCAGTCATTCTCACGACATGCCCGAGCCAACATAGACATCACTGTTTCAGTAATGTATACATGCTAAAAATGCCAGTTCATTCTAGGACTACTCTATTTGGTACTTTGTCCTGTCAGGTGGTACCAAAAATCCGTCGGAGACAACGCATATGGAATGTGTTCAGCTTCCTCTCTTACTGTGCACAACCTACTGAGGCTACATCTCACATATTGCAAAGTGGTAGAATATCTAAAGAGAGAAGCAACATATGCTCACCTTTATGGACAAGGAGTGTTCTATGCAATTATAATACCAAGACACACAGTTCAAGGGATGAAATCAGCGATGGTGATGATAAAGCCATTGCAGGCTGCCTTTTCTATGCATTGAACACTAAATACTAAAGGTACCCTTTTTGATTTTACTGGTTTACTGTGAGTGGGTGAGCTTTAGGCCATAGGAAGGCCCTGCCTACACATCTCATTGGCCCTCTGAGGGTTCCTGCCAAGGATAGATGGCAGTTAATCCATTCTCCAGGGTATTGCCTCAACATGTCACTGCCTACAATGAATTTAGATGACAGGAACTAATTTCCCCAAAGAGTGTAATTGTGTTGGGATTGATGGCAAAGAGAACTACAAATTGGGTTTTTGGAATATGGAAAGTCATAGGTAGATAGAATAAAAGTCCCCTTGTTGAGTTAACTGTTGTCTGTGAGTTTTCTTCACGATGATGGATGACACAGGTATCTTTTCTGATTCCTATGCCCATGGATGAGATGTATCCGATCACATTTACATTACATTATTATTATTATTAATATGTGTTGTCCTTTACTGTTTTGAAAATATAAATTGAGCTGCACAGGAATACAAGAGTTGTTTATACATATCATGAACTCATGTCTCATAAAATATAGCAATTGTTAGATCAAATGTGGTACGTGCTGTATGCACCTTTTATCCAAGTTCATTTATCTAGAAGAACAAATGAAATCTGTTAGAAAGTTAATCTAGACATTCTGAAAGTCTCATTTTTATCAGGACCTCCTCACAAAACTGACAAGCTATGATTATGTATACCTTACTCTGTTTTGTTTTTTATTAAAGGTGGGCTATGGCAGAAGGTTATGGTGCTTGCTTAATAAACAAACCCGAAGTAGTGCAAGAGATGGTGAGACGCATACGAAATCAGGTGGAAAGTCCTGGGTTTTCAGTATCTATTAAGATAAGGCAAGTTTTGATGTTACGTATGCAAAATACTGTACTGTATATAGTTTATACATTTTATATTACATTACACATGTCTTTGCGTGATACAGTACATAAAAATGTTATTGATTAATCTCAGTGCTTCTCCTTACTTCTACACAATGAAATATATTGAAAAAAGCAGAAATTGGGGCTTATTGATTGATAAAAATGCCATATAACTGGATAGGTCTGAACATTTCCTACATATTTGTCCTAATATTTTTAACATATTGGATTCGGTATTGTGCCATTACATCAGTAGAGAAGCCATTAAAAACAATTTTATATCCAAGTGAGGCCAATTTGGCAAATGAGATACATGGATAGTGAGGAGGAGGAGAGATAAAAGTCTAAATCCAGAAAAAGTTAGTCACTCTGAGATCCATTAGCAAATTAGATGCAACTAATGTAACTTCCATTAAACAGATAGAAATCCAGTACAGTACAACCAATCTCCTCTGCCTTATTGCCAGAATGCAAAATTTCTAATCTTCACAGATAATGCCATGTAAGTGATACTAAAGAATAGAAATATACATTTTTAAATGCACCATACTGATGGTCTTCTTGTTGCTTGGTGTCTTAGAATTCATAATGACCTAAAAAGAACTGTAGACCTTTGCCAAAAAGCAGAAGCAGCTGGAGTATCCTGGATTACCGTCCATGGGAGAAGTGTAGAGGAAAGACACCAGCCAGTACATTACGATGCAATTAAAATAATCAAAGAAAGTGTGACTATACCAGTAGTAGCTAATGGAGATGTGAAGTTTTTAAAAGATGTGGAGGACATTCATCAAATAACAGGAACAGATGGTAAGACCAAACTTTTAATTCATTTGGGGTCTCTTTCCCCCGAAATACAGAAATGTACTTTACCCAAAATGGGAAATGCATGCATACTTTTAATCTTTGGCATTAAATTTGAATTCCTTGCAAGAAATAATTTTGTCAGCTTTCAACAGACTTACTGAATTCGAACTCAGCATCTAATTAAGGAAAATGTTGCCTACAGAGTATGCCAGTTTAATAAAACTTCTAAAGTAGGTGCCATCAAAAAGATTTTATTAGAAAATACCAACTGTGCAATTCTATTCATATTAACTCACAATTAAATGCTGTTATGTACAGGATTGTGCCATAACATGACTTTCCCATTATATAATGTAAGAAATTAGTTTAGAAAGTGAAGAGTTCCACAGAATACTTCATTCATGTCTCTCAAGCTGCCATTTTATCTGTATTTGCTGCAGAAGTGTGCTCCACTGAATGTACCTCTGAGAAAACATGTGTAGACTCACATTATAAAACAAGGCATCAGATTAAATACATGAACACACAGAATGCAGGTGGTCATTATAATAAAATAAGCTGGGACGCAGAGCCCTCTTAGTGGGCACACGAGCAATAAGTCAACATTGAAAAATGCTTATGAGTCCTCTGATCCCAGATTTCGTCACTCCCCTCTGCTGGTGCAGTGGTCCAGTGGAAGGGTGCAATGGCGGGCCGTCTAGCCCAACGGGAGATTGGAGGACCAGTAAGTATTTCTCTGTTAATTCCGCCCCTAGGGGGAAAAAAAACCACCAAGCATTTAACCCTTGCAGTGCAGGGGCAGTTTTTTTCTAAACTAAAACCTCAGTATTCAGGTTTAATAGCAGTGTTGGCACTTTGAAATAAATAAGTTGGTTTTGTGTTGCAGTTTGGGCACTGAGGCTCAAAAAGGTTTGCCATCACTGGTATACACTGATAAAGCTAGGAACTCTTTGCAAGACATTTCCCCTGCTTGATACTTTAGTATGTTGTTATATTTAATTTGTTTTCTCTCTGCTGTTGCCCCTGGGCAATTTTTCTTTTTGGTGTTTTGTTGATAAGAATTTTCATTGTGGAGGGTGTTTAATGTTCATGTTTTATGGACGTAATGCCTCTCAGAGTAGTGGTAATGGCACTAGATGGGTGGGATATAACTCTAACAAATAAATGTACAGTAGTTAATTAATTATAATCCACTTGGATTCTTGAGCATATACCAAGTCATCGAGCATGCACATACGTACACACCCAAGAATCCCAAAGATGATTAGTTCATTGCCAGCTAGAAGCAACTGAATATTACACTGTTTGCCTTTCTCATACATAAAAAGAGCAACAGGATTTCGGCCAATGTGTCTTACTCATAGATTTCAGTGTTTATATTTTGTGAGATGTGATCTTCAACATTAATCATCCTTCGGTGCTTCATCCCTTCTCAAAATACATAACTTTGTCCAATTCTACATGAGCCTAACACTGCTGTTAGGATCTTAAGAGAAAAGAGTTTCATTGAAGAATGTTGTCCTTTTATTGCCGTATTGACATAAGTTTTGAATTTACTTAAAGTGTTCTAACTTTTTTTAAAGTAATGATCTTTTAAATATTACTCTTTTTATTTGTATCTGTTTTTAATCATTTGTGAACTGCCTTGGATCCCTAAACTGGGAGAAAGGTGGCACAGAAAATAAATAAATGAATAATAAATAAGTGTATTTGTTTTACTTTTTCCCCACCCATCTAGACATCTTTTACCACTCTGGGCAGCTTACATATTTGAAAGATAAACATAAAAACATCCAACCCCCTACGAGATAAACCTCACATCAAAGAAAGAAAGAAAAAGCCCAAAATCCAGTGGCAACAGCAGTCAGAAAACAAATAAAAATATAAGAACATAATAAGCTATTGCGTGGGGAGGATATCTTGAAAAGCTTCTCTGAAAAGCCACATTTTAACTGATTTTCTAGGATGGAAGGGGTCTTGTGCACTTCCACAGGCAGGGCATTCCAGTACTGTGGCAGCCACCACCAAAAAAGCCTGGGTTCCAGTTGTTGATTTCCAGGGTGGCTGTCCATGCGTCATAATTTGGATAAAATGGGTAGCATGGGAGGATGATCTCAGGGAATCATTCAGTGAAATCTATATTAATTTTTAAACTTAATCCCATTAAAATGTGTACAAGACAAAGAAAGCCCCAAGATAAATTACACTATGCTCAGAATTAACTTTATATCTGTATTTATTTTCATTGTATAGGTATTATGGTTGCTAGAGGGCTCTTAGCCAATCCAGCTATGTTTGCAGGTTACGAAGAAACACCTCTACAGTGCATTCAAGATTGGGTTGATATTGCTGTTGCACATGGAACTCCTTTTACATGTTTTCATCACCATTTAATGTACATGTTGGAAAGAATTACTTCAAAACAAGAAAAGAAAATTTTTAATGTTCTGTCAAGTACAACTGCTGTTTTAGACTACCTTAGGAATAACTATGGTGTACAGTAACTTTCTAAATATTGCACTTCTGTTAGATTATACTGTTGTTTAAATGATTTTAATTTTCAGAATTTCATATATATGACAAAGGTATACAAGTCTATTTTTTCTATTCAATGTTTTGAATTTACAGTATTTGTAAAGGTATTTACAGTTTTAACACAATCATAATAAAGCTGTTCAAATATTGTAGTAGGCATTGGCTATGTTCATCCATCATATGACCTTTCAGTCCTGTTCTCAGATGGTATCCTTTGCCACTTGTTAGTAAACTTACAGATCTTTATCATATCCAAGATCTATAAACCAGTCCATGAGATACAGTAGTAAAAACAAAAATTCTCTGATATAAAAAAAAATATTATCTATGCATATAGGTAAAGGTAAAGGTAAAGGTAAAGGTTCCCCTTGACAATTTTTGTCCAGTCGTGTTCGACTCTAGGGGGCGGTGCTCACAGATCTTTATCATATCCAAGATCTATAAAGTAGTCCATGAGATACAGTACTAAAAACAAAAATCCTCTGATATAAAAAAAATTATCTATGCATATATTAAGAATAAAAATTACTGAGGAAAGCCGAAAATGGGAAAAGCATCAGTAAAACTCTAATTTTCTAAACAGTATCAGTAAAACTCAAATTTTCTAAATGGTAAGTAAATGTAGCATTTCTAAATATTCCATGTATTTTAGGTTAAACTACTTTTAACTATTTTAAATATTCACTGCTGATGAATTACAACTTATATTATCTAGTTTTTTTATTGAATACTGTATTCAGCATTGCTTCATAAAAATCTTTGGTTGAGGTTTCTCTGTCCTTCCTCTCACATGTTCAAAAGAATTAGAGTTGTTCTATTTTAGGAAGTGTTGAAGTGCTCTTGTGTCATACAGCCCACGGTTCCATGGGGTTGAGTGCAGGCACTTTCATCTCTAGTTTTAGGTGTTATTCTATACGTTAAATGCTTTCATTCTACAGTGAATGGAATTTAAATGGTATCAGTTTCCTCCTTCCCACATTCGTGAGAGCACTTTTGAGACTGCATGGAAAAATCAAATGAAAGAACTCTGCTGTGCCTATTTTATACCTTCAGGTGCTAGGGAAAAAAAGAAAGTATTTCTTGATTTGTCATACTCAATAACTCATATCCTTTTATTCTGGATTAAGTGGTCCAGAGTAACTGCTGCTCAAATTTTGTACTGACAATGTGATACCACTCTTTGCTTTAGTTAGGTGATGAGAACATGACCAAAACTGAAAGAAGTTATACTGTCTACTTCCACAATATTAGGTATCAAACATACAGTTTTCAAGCTCAAACTTCTACTCACTGACCAAATCAGTATAGAATTGTTTAGTGTGGAGGATAAAAGGGTGGTCATGCAGCAGTTTTAAGTAATCAGAATGTCTCCACAAGCAGTTCAAATTTGTCCATCACCCATGTATGACTCCTGACTACTTGTGTAACAAGAACTGCTCTGTGTACTTCTGACCCTCACCCAGCTTATTTATTAGGGCGACAATGCTTACAACACTACAGTATTTCGAAATATATATGGGATACATGGCTCTCTTCCCACATTATCCTCATACCTTCCCTGTGAAGTCACTCAGGTTCAGAGTCAGTGACTAGCATAAGATCACCTGATGAGCTAACTGTAGATATGAACTCAGGTCTCCTGAATGCCAGTTTAAGAATACCACCATGTTCTTAACATAGAAGACTTTCCCAAAGTATGCAATGTTATTTTAATTAACTATTTCCGTAGAAAACTGTGGTAAGCAACTGTAGCAAAAACATACATTCTTGTGGTATAAACTTGTCCTTAAAAGACAAACGTTTTATTATGGCAAAAGTTTTGTGGACTCTAGCCTACACCATAAGATGCATGGGCTATATCCTATTATATAATTTACACTATATGACATCATCTGTCACAGTAATTTTTCACAAATAAAACATTTGCAGTTTCTACATGGAAGGTTTCAAGGCTCCAATGGAATTACTTTAATACAGTAGTTCAGAAACTGTTGGGGGCTACAGGATAGGGTAAAAGGTAAAGGTAAAGGTTCCCCTTGACAATTTTTGTCCAGTCGTGTCCGACTCTAGGGGGCGGCGCTCATCCCGCTCTTCAAGCCATAGAGCCAGCGTTTGTCTGAAGACAATCCGTGGTCACATGGCCAGTGTGATTTAGACACGGAACGCTGTTTACCTTCCCACCGAGATGGTACCTATTTATCTACTCGCATTTACATGCTTTCGAACCGCTAGGTTGGCGGGAGCTGGGACAAGCGACGGGTGCTCATTCCGTCGCGTGGATTCGATCTTACGACTGCTTGGTCTTCTGACCCTGCAGCACAGGCTACTGCGGTTTAGCCCACAGCGCCACCACGTCCCTACAGGATAGGGAGGAAGTCTTTAATTACTAAAATCACCATTGCCATGATGACTTTACCCCCAGTGGTTATTTCTGGCAATTAAAAACTCTCCCTCCATCCCATAGTCCCCAATGTCTTTCTAAAAATAAAAAAGCATTCTACAGAAGCCTCAGGACATTTGGAGGGAAATAAGAATTTTTTTATTTCTGAAAAATTATTGCAGCTCATGACATCAACTTTACACAGTATAACTGATGTAACAGGATTTCAGCCATGATGTGCCTATAACCCACAACAGTTTACGCCATAATAAAATATGTTAGCTTTTAAAACACGACAAGATTCTGTTGCTTTGATCAATCAGTGTGCTTGAATTTCATGGTGATTAAAGATTGCTATGGATGAAGGATACAATTAAGAAGGCTGTGCCAGAAACAAGAGTAGGAGGACATCAGTTCTAATTGCACTGACCTAGATGTAAATGTTTGGAAAGAATTCATATACAGCTGCTGCTTCTCACATTCTCATTCAAGACATCTGACTTCACACTACCGTATCCATGATTGGACTTGCCAGTTCAACAGCTCCAAAGTAAGTGGTCTTGAGATCTGTTCCATGGAACAAGGCAGCCTCACCTGAATTTCATTTACAGTGAGGGGGATATGAAAACAGGAGGCACTGTTTAAGCATTCCAAGAGAATGTTCAGAGAATACAAGGTTATGGAACAGCTCAGCTTAAGAGTGATGGATGAAGGAGCTGCAAGAGTAATACAGCATGTGAGAGGGAGAAATTTATTGAGGCTGCCTTGTTGGAAAGTGAAAAGCTGGAATAAGGTGATGAATAAAGTTCACTTATTCTTGAAGGCTTTCAAGACTGGGATCCAGTGGTTGTAGGTTTTTCAGGCTGTTTAGCCGTGTTCTGGAGGTTTTTCTTCCTAATGTTTTGCCAGTCTGTGGCCGGCATCTTCAGACGACAGGAGTTAGAACTGTCTCTGTGTTCCGGTGCAATGTGTGGGATAGTTGAGTATTTGCAGCTGTGGGATCAGCTGTTTGTCCTTTTCAGGAGATTGGGTGATTATAGTGATCAGGGTGTTTTTTGTTATGGCTATATTGTTGTGATAAGGGAGAAGATGATCTGTCACTGTGATTGATGGGTGTTGTTAGCTAGTCTTTGTGTGCAGTGATCACCAGTCCTTGTGGATGGCTAGAGTTTATTGACCTTTTAGCAGGTCTACAGAAAACCCACCCACACAGACCCGTAACTACATGGGGTGATTATAGTGATCAGGGTGTTTTTTGTTATGGCTATATTGTTGTGATAAGGGAGAAGATGATCTGTCACTGTGATTGATGGGTGTTGTTAGCTAGTCTTTGTGTGCAGTGATCACCAGTCCTTGTGGATGGCTAGAGTTTATTGACCTTTTAGCAGGTCTACAGAAAACCCACCCACACAGACCCGTAACTACATGAAAACTCCAACCATCACCCACGACAAGAGAGGCATAATCAAAACACTGGTAGACTGTGCAAATCAGAACTGTGAAGCTCAATTTCTCAGCATCAAACTCAACCATCTGAATTGGGCCCTACAGGCAAATGGTTCTTCCAAAAATGAAATCACAAGAGCCATCAAACCAAGAAAACAACACCGAACTGAAGAAGAAAAACAGAAATACAAATAAGTATTTCTGCCATACATCAAAGGAATAATGGACCACATGGGGAAACCTTTGAAAAAACACAACCTTCAAACAGTATTCAGGCCCACCACAAAAATACAACAAATGTTACGGCCAGCAAAGGACAAAAAGGACCCCCTCACTACTGCAGGAGTATACCAGATAACTTGCAGTTGTATCCAGTTATATATCGGGACCACAAAATGCAGCATCTGCAGCAGAATCAAAGAACATGAAAGACATTGCAGACTAAAACAACCAGAAAAAATCGGTAGTAACTGAACATGCCCTGAAACAAGCTGGACATTAAATTCTATTTCAGAACACAGAAGTACTGGACGACACCAGTAATCATTATATTAGACTATATAGGGAAGCCATTGACATCCACAAACATCAACAAAGCTTCAACAAAAAAGAAGACAGGTCTAAAACTCAATAAAATAATACTAGCTGTGGGTCCGAATGGCAATTTTTATATATATTTTAATTGTATTTTAACTGTTTTGAATTTTTATTGTATTTTAAATGTTGTAAGCCGCCCAGAGACCTTTGGGTAGTGTGGGCGGCATATAAATTAAATAAATAAACAAACAAAGCCTGGCTCCCATCACTGAAAAATACAGCCTGCAAAAGGTCAACAAACTACCCAGCCACAAGGACCGGTGATCACTGCACACAAAAGACTAGCTAACAACACCCCTCAATCACAGACAGATCATCTCCCCCTTATCACAACAATACACCCATAACAAAAAAAACACCCTGATCACCATAATCACCTGAAAAGGACAGAGAGCTGATCCCACAGCTACAAATACTGTACTCAACTATTCCACACACTACACCAGAACACAGAGACAGTTCTAACTCCTGTCATCTGAAGATGCCGGCCACAGGGACTGGCAAAACGTTAGGAAGAAAAACCTCTAGAACAGCCTGAACAACCTACATCAACCAAAGTTCACTTAGGTTGCTAAATCGGCTTAGGTAAAAATGGAGTGCCATGCAGCACACTTTCTAATTACGACGTTGTGCTTATTATGAAATGGTACAGTATTATGGATTCTTTAAATAAATCCAATCCTTATTTATGGCTAGAACACTGATTAGTATACAGACATTTATATGTTCATAAAGGAGCTTGGGCAAAATGATTTAAAGAGAGCCAAGGTTAATATTATAGTTGTTAACTTGGAATAAATATACCGGTAACTGACTTCAAATACATCTCTACTGGCTTTTGCATATTTTATTAAGTGTCAAAATATTACAGTACTGTATTTTAAAAACAGTGATAATTTCTGAGATAATGTTGGAGCTCAAATTTGACGTTGGATTTAAAGGCATCATCATGCTGTAGTTGCAATATGTGTTGGGTTCAGCAAGTGTAAATTAATGGGCCTCTGAAAAGTTGTATCAATAGCGGGGGATGGGGACGACGACGACAAAACACAACTTTCCCCAACAGCGCTCACTGAAAGAGGATGGCTGGTATAAACCCCAATACCAAGTCCTCGCTTAACGTCCCTTCAGGTCTGTACCACTGCTTTGAGTGTTGGGGAGCGTTAAAAAAATAGCACCAACTCACCTGGGTACGACACAAGTAATGGGACCACCTCAAATACATCCCACTTCCCACAAACGCCCTTCCCTTCCTTATGTTTTTTTTAGTATGACATTTGTTTGGTCCCTTTTTCTTTGTAATTTTATACTCGCGGTTGTTAGCTTTAATACTGCCCTTTAATGATGTAAGTCACTCTAAGAGTCCTTTTTGAGGGAGAAACGCAGGGTAAAAACGCTCTGAATGAATAAATTCCCTAGGGCTTTAGGGTGCTTCAGTCCTTCAGCCTTCTTCTCTCGGGGTGGGGTGGGGGAGTGTAAGTCCCGTTGAACTCAGCACGACTTACTTCTGAGTAGGGGAGCCCTAAAATCGAGCGGTTTGCGCCCTTTGCTCGAAGGAGGAAGCTTTCGGCCGGCCACCAACCCTCCCTTTTGCGGCTGGCTCCCGTCGCCCGGCCGGCGGGCTCCCTCCTTCGCCCGCCCTTTTTGCAGCCTCGGAAGGCCCGGCTACCTTTCCCTCCCCTTTGCAGCTTCTGTCGCAGTCGAGCCGAATCGGATAGCTTTGAGAAAGATCGTGGAGGCCAGGCAGCCTTCTTCTCTCGGGGTGGGGTTCCGCGCCCCCCCCCGCACCGTTCCCTGCGCCCTCCCCGGGGCGATGAACCAGGAAGGGCCGGGGCTGAAGCAGCGCTTACTAAAAAGCGGGGTAAAACGACAACAACCTCCCCCCCTCCCGCCGCCGTTTCTTCCAACCGAAACGGCTACAAAGCTTCCCCCAGAAGCGTGTTCGGGGCCAGAGAGGAAGTGCTGATGGGGGGAGGTTTGAACTGCAGTCGAATAGCAGTCTGGTATTATGTTGTGATCCGTGGTAACTCCCCTCCCCAGTGGAAAGTAGGTGGGCGAGCGGGGGGGGGGGTTGGGGGGGGGCAGCGGGGGAAAAGGTGTTCCCGAAAGTCCCGCGCTAGTTGGAGTCCTACGCAAGGGGGAACCCAGGTTTGATTCGGGAGGTCTCCGGGCCACACGTACTGATAACACGGGAGTGGGGTGGGGAGCGGTGATGGGGAAATACGGCGGCCTAAGAATGAGTTGCAACAAGCTTTGGGCCGTGTGTGGGGGGGGTGTCAACATGGTTTTGACCAGTTGAAACATTTCGTGCGCGAAGCTCTGGGGAGCCTGTTTTGGCAACGGGTGGCTGGCGTCATTTAGTCAAAAAGCTTCGCCGCGTTCTTTTTCCGAATTGTTTTGAAACCATGGTGAACTAATCGGTCTTAACTTCTCTGCAGATCCCTCCTTGATAAGATGACTTTTCAGTGGACAGCCGTTGCAGCCTTTCTGTATGCTGAAATAGTTATATTATTGTTACTCTGCATACCGATTATTTCTCCTCAGAGGTAAGAATGTGCTGTATTTGAAATGGCTGCCTTTTAAAAAAAGATCTGCCCTGTACTTTGGTTAACTGTATTCAAAGTTGGATGTAAACTTGCCTTTTTTTCTGTTGTAAACAGATTAGATTTTGGTGAGATCTCCTGTCCACTGGCAATTTTAGAGAAGCTTCTCAAATGCCTGGATTGATGAGTCTAGGAATGTTAAAAATGGTGCCCTTGTTTCAGCTTGTGACTGGTGCTTGTTCTTATCAGGCCATTGCAACAGATTGCCCACTTTATTATCTTTGAATAACAGCCAATGTTGGAAAAGACAATAATGCTAGGAAAAGTTGAAGGCAGCAGGAAAAGAGAAGGATCAAATATGAGATGGATTAACTGCATAAAGAAAGTCACAGCCTTGAGTCTGCAAAAGCTGAGCTAGGGCTAATAGTGATGGGACATTTTTGAGGTCACTCATTGATAGGGTTGCCATGGGTTGGAGGTGCCTTGGCGGTAACATGCCAACAAATGAAACAGTTCTGCTGAAACTTGTAAAACTTTGAAGTGTGACATTAATGCCCCATACTGCTGTAGACAAGAGAATAAGGCTAGTTTGTTGTATCTATGCGCTTGTTTATTTGGAACTATATTCTATTTTTCCAAACCTTGTTGTAACTTCCCACAATAATTTTTTCATAGATCTAAAAGCACGTGGTAAACATCACAATCATTATGAAAGATTTTCAGAGTGATCAAGAAATATATAACTCACTGTCACATAACAGTAAGATTGCCACAATTGTTGTTCCACTGTCAGTGGTCAGAGACAAGTGTGGCCCTTGATCAGAATTAGTACTATAATGACACCAGGCTGTTTGGCCTTTTTTTTTTCAGCAAGTGGTGTATATAAGCAGTTTTGTCACAATAATGGTTTTCCTTGAATCACAGTAGTGGTAATAAAACTGCCAACAGTTATAATGGTGCTTGTTTGTATATATGCTCCTAAAAGACCATGAAGAGCTGTGTTGTTAGTATTAATAACAAGTAATTTATGTTGAGCCTAAGATAATAATGGAGGTAACTGGCTTGAATTGTTAAGTCCAACAGCAGAAAGTACAGGCTTACCTTATTGTTAAGTCCAACAGCAGAAAGTACAGGCGTACCTTTGTTTACAAATTTAATGCATTCTCTGGCACGTTACATAATGCAAAACATTCGTAAACCGAAACGTGGTTTGCCACAGTAAAGGGGCCGGCGCTATAAACCTTCAGGCACAATGCATCTTGGGGAAACTTCCTTCATACTGCGAAAAAAACCAAGGCATTATTTTCAATGGATTTTCCTTTGTAAACTGAAAACTACATTAACCGAGGCATTCATAAACCGAGGTACACAGAGGCAAAACTACATTAACCGAGGCATTCATAAACAGAGGTACACAAAGGACATAGATCTGCTGGAAAAGAAACAACCATGTAGAACTTTTAACAGCAAAATCCTATATACACTTACATACTATCATACTGCATCCTCCTGAAGACATTACCATCAACCTCATCCTAGGCCATACCAGCCCTGCTCCTTTGAGCCAATACAGTATATAAGTGATCACATATGCCAGAAACAAGCAACAGTGGAAAAGGAATAGCTACAAAAGAACATTAGCCCCTGCTGGCTGAACAAAAAACAATGCATGCCTATGAGAAAAGACCAGCCTTTCTTGCAGTCAGCTGTAAATCATGTAGTTGACGAAAATTTCATCAAATTTGACTGTGACAAGTCCAGCACAAACCATAGGATAAATTACACCATTGCGACGTGGTGGCGCTGTGGGCTAAACCGCAGGAGCCTGTGCTGCAGGGTCAAAAGACCAAGCAGTCGTAAGATCGAATCCATGTGACGGAGTGAGTGCCCATCGCTTGTCCCAGCTCCTGCCAGCCTAGTGGTTCAAAAGCTTGCAAATGCAAGTAGATAAATAGGGACCACCTCGGTGAGAAGGTAACAGCGTTCCGTGTCTACGTTGCACTGGCCATGTGACCACGGAAGATTGTCTTCAGACAAACGCTGGCTCTATGGCTTGGAAACGGGGATGAGCACCGCCCCCTAGAGTCAAACACAACTGGACAAAAATTGTCAAGGGGAACCTTTACGTACCTTTACCTTGTAACCTGAGTATCTTAAAATTTCTGTAGAGCAGCATACTACCTGTAGAAATTAGTAGTTAACTAGATGACCGCCAGCAACTGTAGCAGTAAGAGGGAATGATGATTTTGATGTTTATAAGAGACGGGCACAGACTCTTGGTTTTGACTTCTGTCCTCATTGTGTTTATATATAAACATCAGTGGGGGGGTTGTGTGCTGCTCCTATTGATGTTAGACTGCAATTGTCAGATGTTCATAGCATGGGATGGCAGTTACAACCTAACATCTGAAGCATCACAAGTTATCTATTCCTTATATAAAATATTGGTGAATTCACAGGAATTCATTCTTCTTTACTGCTTGTGACTTATTTATTTGTTTAACTTATATGCCGCCCACACTACCCAAAGGTCTCTTGTTGAGATGCCTGTTTGAGGACTTTGCATTTACATTGTAGCACTGTGGGTAGAGTGCTGCTTTTCCTGCTTATGGTTCAGATACCTGCTGTTGGTGTGATTGTACCTTTTCTCCGGAGAACCACTAAAATTAACATAACCAAAGAATATTTAACTGTCTCTAAAACATGGAGAAGTGGGATTCTCTAAATGAGGAAGTGATGGAATGGACTGTTGAAATTTAGACTGTTGGAGGAAGAATCCTCTTGTTTAAAAGACCTTGCAGAAAGCTTGAGAGATTACCTTAGAAGTAGAATTAAAAGGTGAAACACATTCCCTTCCAAACTTAGGGAACAACTGGATGGGTATTTATTCTACTGTTTTGCTGTGTTTCTCCCTGTTCCTTTTGATGTTTATATAGTGTTAGTGCTAATAACAAGTAGATCCAGTCTTTTGGCATGAATATGCAATATATTTTGTTCAGCTGGCAGAGCTTGTGTCTCTCTCTCTCTCTGTGTGTGTGTGTGTGTGTGTGTGTGTTACTGTAGTGTTTCCTCCCCATTAGTTTGTCTTGTTTTGGGCTTGCATGATTGCCTGTATTGGTCCTTCAGGGACATTGTTGGGCGTGTCCAAATTATATCACATATGGTGCACGGCGTGATGTGGGAGTGAACTGTACTTTTTTTTGCACTGATAGGGGCTGCAACTGCAGTGCAATTTGTAAATTATATTTTTTAAAAGATATTTTTTTCCTAATTTGGTGCTAAATTGAAACAGCACTAACCAAATATGTACCCTATCTTTTCAGTTCAGCAGTACAGTATTTCACTTACTAAGCATTTTTTAAAGGAAGAATTTAAATGTTAGCAAAAAGGATGGGTAATAATTAGTGAGATCGTTTTACTAACAAGATAATCGAAGGTGTGATTTAAATATAAGCATCAAAGGATTTTCGTCTTCAGAATAAGGCTTTAAGAGGATCTAAAAGCAGCAAATTAGTCTCATTAAACCTGGATGCTAAAGACACCTAGTCTCATTAGACACTAGCAGAGCTGGCAGGTCTGAATTCTACAAGGTATATCCTTTCCCGTTAGTTCCTTTGTAACGTGGTGTCCAAAACTGCACTTCGGTGAAATTCTCTTTTGTGCAGTGTTTGGAGCTATAGGAGTCCCCTCAGGGTTTGAGTTCAATAAATCTGTATGGTATTTAGGATTTTCCATGCTTATAGACAAGGAAATTGCATTTTAATATTAAACTCCACTGTAATGGAAATATCTAATAATCAAGCTGATCTTGTTGCACAAACTGAAATGTTTATACAATTGTCTTTGTGCATATCAAGCCTTCTTGAAAAACTGCAGTTATGTTTTTACAGATGGCAGAAGGTTTTTGGGATCCCAATATGGAATAAGATTACAAACTATTGGAACAAGGCGTTCCTTACTATTATAGTCCTACTGATTGTTTTATTTCTTGGTAAGTAGGAGATTAATTCCTTCCATACTGGTATTAATATTTCTATTTCTGTATCACCTCATTTGTGTTGCCACTCTCTGGGTGGTTAAATTATGCAATAAAAACATAACAAAACACTGTATAAGAAATACAATAGAATGAATGAACCCTGTCACTACCTGAAACTTCTTTTAAATAAAAATGCACAAATTAAAACCCATTTGAACATCTCAGGACAAATACATACTGGACACGTATTAAATACATGTTTTTGGGAGGTTATTCTGTTCACTATGTATTGGTTCTGCTTTTGATAATTAGAAAACCTAACCAAACTGTTTTGCTGCAAAATCATTTGAACAAGACATACATCCTTTTCTTGCCCATTAGAAGTAAAAGAGGTTTAAGATTTGAAAATCCTATTCAACCCATGAGGTAGGAAATGATTCAAAAAGAATCAGCAGGTGGCACTATGTCTCTTTAGTTCATGCTTGTTTTAGTACATTAAGGGAAGTAGATGTTTACTTGGGTTTTGGAAACTACACTCTTTGGAGCAGGACTGGGGAGATTCGGCTATGCAGAACTTTTGAATTACAGCTTCCAAAATAGCTGATACTTAGTTATGCTGGCTGGGGCTTCTGGTGGTTCATGTTCAAAACATCTGGATAATCAAATGTTCCAAGTCATGATGTAGAGTCACCTCCCCTAATTTTCTGCTTTTCGCATGCTTTGGTTCCAGCCAGTGGTCAGGGATGATGAAGGATTTGACGCCTAATCAAGGAAGTTTATTTTAGTAAAACTGCTGAGATGTAGCTGTTTGATACCATAAATTTGTTTTTGTTTGTTGTGGAATATAATGATCTGGTAAGATCTTGTGTTGTTGAAGTGGTAACATTAAGTATGTGTTATAAAAGCCAATTCCTTTTATTCAGATATGGGTAATATAGGCCAAACACAACCACCTCCAATCCCTGCCAAAATATGTTGCTGTGCAATTTTATCAATATGATATCATAAAAAAGCCAGATTTTAAGGCAAGGAACATAGAGATTATGCACTTTTAAAAAAGCTGATTCATGCACCCTAAAGTGTAAATTTGCTTTAAAGTACCACACACAAGCTCCCATCGCTTGTCCCAGCTCCTGCCAACCTAGCAGTTTGAAACCATGTAAATGCGAGTATATAATTCCTGATCTCCCCTTTCTTTCCTCTCCCTACTGTTTGTCCCATCTTGTTGAAAGTTTTCCCCTTATGTAAAATTGTTTTTATTTATATTGTTGTACTCTTTGTTGTAAGCCGCCTAGAGTGGTCTTAATCAACTAGATAGGCGGGATATAAATAAAATAAAATAAAATAAAATAAATAAATAGGTACCACCATGGTGGGAAGGTCACGGTGTTCCGTGTCTAGTCGCGCTGGCCACGTGACCACGGAAATTATCTACGGACAAACGCTGACTCTACGGCTGGGAGATGGGGATGAGCACCGCCCCCTAGAGGTGGACACGACTGGACTAAATGTCAAGGGGAACCTTTACCTTGTTGCCTCATACACACTTTGTCTATGTGACAATGCAGCTTCTTATGTGTTGCCGCTCCCCCTGCAAAAAACAAACAAACAGATTTTCTTATGCCTCCAAATTCTGTCTTCTAACTGCTCCACCATTCATTGGTTACTGTTTATAAGATATTTTGATGTAGCTATTTTAGGACTAGTCCTGGGAAATGTAACGTGCGAAAGGTTTGTGTACAATAGCAAACCAGTAAATAAGATATTAGAAACAAAGTGCAGCAACATTTATTCTTTACCCACAGATGCTGTAAGAGAAGTGAGAAAGTATTCCAACATTCATTTATCTGAAAAAACTACACACGCAAGCCCCAACGCTTTTGATCACATTCAAATGAAACTTTTTAGATCACAACGGAACCTCTATATCTCCGGATTCTCACTTTTTCTTTGGCTGTAAGTACAATCGTGTACTATTTAATTCTGTCTGAGCCATCTTGTAAGAAATTCAGTCTGGAATAGAAAAAAAGATTGTTCATGCCCAAAGTTTATAAAAGCTTGTGAGAGCAGTGACTGAGCATATTTGAGAAGGTTAGAGGGCTGCTTGACTAGGAAGATAATCAGTGTTTAACAAGTAATAATTTGCTGCTGAAACTCATGCAGTTTCCATTTACGCAAGCGCAGATGATCAATAGGATTCTGGCCAGAAGTTGTCAATTAATAAGTTGATGAATTAAATGAGATCTGTTGATATGAAATGGAAAGAAATGTAGCCTTTAATACCTGACTCAAAAATGCTATTGTCTAAAAACTAGTGGGGTTTTCTCCTACGATCATACTGTTTTAGAAGGCACTCAAAATTGCTTGTTTGAAAATATTCCCCACTCTTAAAATTGCATGTAGAAGGTTTACAGCAACCTTCCTGAAAGTAGGAATACTAATGATCAGCTTTCATGGAAGTGATTTTTTTTAATGTGCATCTCGTCATAAGGGCCTTATGAGGGCTGTTTAGTATGTCAAATATTTTAGAGCCCAATGCTGAACTGAAGAGAGACTGGCTATAGTGCTGTAGAATTCAGCAAGGTTCTTATGTTGGCCGGCTGTAAGAAGCACCAGTAGCATGACAAAAGACCTGTTCAGTTGTTATTCCACCTAGTTCCTGTGAACATGTTTGGAGGGGAGCTTCTGGCCCTCCCTCCTTCCACCATGCGTGCTTCACGGTTACAACACTGGATAGGAAGAGGAGAGGTTCCTGCTTGTGTGTAGATGCTATACAGTATATGAATAAAGAACCAGATTTTCCAGGGTTCTTGCTAGCATATAGGAACTTGTCCTCTTTAGATTCTGTGTTGTAAATAATAAAGAACATTATAACAGAAGGGGACAGGAGTAGGACCTCTCCTCAAAGAGCATTTATGGTGCCAGGTTTAAATAACAGCTAAATAGGGCTACATATATTGGTGGTCTTAGAAAAGAGAAGTAGGATAGTGTGGACAAAAATTCCAGTTGAGTGGCGCTGAACTGGCACAAAGTGGAGAACAAATGCTTAGTCTGGATGATCCCTGAGTTGTCCTTATTTTCTTTTTTTTTCTATTCTGTGGCTGAGCACATAAGACTGTGACTGCCTTTCTACCAGCAGTGGTGCTGCTGCCATGTAACATATACAGTATATAGTGTAGAATTGCTCGTTCGGTTTGATTTAATGCTGAGCCACCACATGTGAACATCACAAAAATAAAAACTAGATTTTATCAAACTAATTAATTAAATGTAAGCTTCCTGTTGTAAAGGGAGATAATTTTTCTTTTCTGAATAATGGTAAAGTAAGCTACAATGTGAGTGAATTCCCATTTGACGTTTTAAGTTGCAGCAGGAAGATACCGGAGCAATCCAGGATCTTATTCAGCTGCATAACATACTGTCTTCTAGTGAAAAAACTTAAACTTTGCTTTTTGCATGCAGAATAGCTGTCTGCTTAAGACAACTAAAGAATGGCAAACCTCACTTAGCAAGTGAAGTGAAAAAAAGTGAAATGGGAGGGGGGGAAACCAAGGCTTTAATCCAGTTTGGTTCCTAACTAGTGTAGATCCACTGAAATGATTTTAACTTATGAACAAACAAGTTTAAATCCTTTCAGTAGGTCTCTAAAATTGAACTTAGCCCTAAGCTAGTATTGATATTGCACTCTATTCTGATAAACCTTTGGTTTTACTCCTAACCATAGTGTGCTGAGACGTATGATTTCCCTTATCACTTTGTTGGCAAGAGAGATGGGAGCCCAGGCAGCTCTAGAAATGCAAATAGCAGATACCAGTGAAGTTGCCAAGAAATACTTGGAAGAGAATGAAAAACTCCAGCAGGTATGTTTTATAGCTAAATGGGTTTCTTTGTTTACATGTCAATTTCACCTCTGTGGCTTAATTTCAGAGTGCTACTTTGCATGCAACAGGAAAGATAAACATTTATAATAGGACTTTTGATTTAGAACAGGCAGCAGACCCTAGATCTGTTAAGTTTGCTTGCTCATATCACCACTTGATATTAACTAAATTAAAGTTTATAAAATCAAATTTAGATAATGACACCTCTTAATATGAATCTTACTCTCCTGCATGGCTGTGTAAACTACAGTAAATCCATGTCATTCAGTTTAAAATATGTTTGTGGACTGCGTCAGTTTATTTTAAAATTCAGAAGGAAACTTGCTACAGTAAGAAACTGCATTTTTTCATCAAGTGGATGAAATCCTGTTGCTTAGTGTAGTTAAGTTGCATTACATTATTAGGCCTATTGAATCTGGGGATTTTGTGAGTTAATTTCTTTATTTCCATTGACTTAAATGGGCCTAGTTGTAACAATGTAGCAAGTTACAACTAAAGCAGAACTATTTGAATCAATGGAACCTTTTTTTAGAAAAATTGCTGCAATCTGTGCTGTGACTTAAAACACTAACAAATATGATTTCAGCCACTGTAAGTCTTAATTAAAGCAATATGTTTGGAACTTGACTAGCATAGTTTGTATATCTGGATAAACTTTTGTGAATTCATAAACCCTCTGGGGAGAAACTTGTTGGATTTTTTAAGCGAGTTCTCATAAATTAGTTGGTTTTTTTAACAGAAGATCATTACACCGTGCTCTTAAGTTATTAATAGTTATTTATGCAATGTACTTCTATGTATTTGTCTTATTTCAATGTTGTAAAATATGCTTTACTTTGATGTAAGTAGTATTTTACAGCAAACTTTTAAAAAGCCTCACAATTTCCCCAAGAACACAGAGGGATGAAATAGACAAGGATAAGAAGGGATTAATATGAACATATGAAGTACAGTGGACCCTCGACTTAATTAATCTGTATTGGAATGGTAGATGTAAGTAGTATTTTACAGCAAACTTTTCAAAAGCCTCACAATTTCCCCAAGAAAACAGAGGGATGAAATAGACAAGGGTAAGAAGGGATTAATTATGAACATGTGAAGTACAGTGGCCCCTTGATTTATGGAATTAAGCTGTATTGGAACAACGGTGGCCACAGGTCAAAAATTCTGTAGGTCGAGGGTCCATTTCCCATAGGAATGCATTGAAAACCATTTAATTCGTTCAAGCCAAAGAAAAAAAATTCCAGGCGCCTTCTGTCCTCGCTGCCCTCTGCCTCCCATCCCTGTGGGGACAGAAGGCAGAGGGCAGCGGGTGCAGCTTTGGAAGAGGGCAGCGGGTGCAGCTTTCTAAGCCCCAAAAGCCGGCAGCAGGTGCGGAGCGGCTTTCGGCTTGCAAAGCCGGCAGCGGACGTATTTTAATTACAGTGGACGCTCGACTACGTAATTAATCCATATTGGAACGGTGGCCGCAGGTCAAAAAGGGGACAGGAGGCAGAGGGCACTGGGGCCAGGAGACAAGAGGGCAGTGGGTGCAGCTTTCTAAAACCTGAAAGCGGGCACTGAAAGGGGGAAAGGATGGGAAATTCAAAGCAGCTGCGGCTGCCCTATTGTCTGTGGACAGGAGGCAGAGGGCACTGGGGACAGGAGACAAGAGGGCAGCAGGGGCTGCTTTGAATTTCTCGCCATTTCCCCTTGCCTTTCGTAGATTGAAGCTCCGGCCGCAAGTCAAACTAAAATTTTGCGGCCGGAGCTTTTCGTACCTCAAAATTTCCGTAAGTAGGGACCTTCATAAGTCGAGGGTCCACTGTATTGAAGTTTGCTAAACTAAACAAAAGAGTGTTTTCTTCTTGGCAGACTCTGAAAGAGAAAACAAATTGTGACAGTGCAGATATGGCTGATGCAACCAGTGTAAAGCTGAAGCAAGAAGTGGAAGACCTGAAAGAAGAATTAAATAAAAAAACGAGTGGTATGTGTTTTACTTTTTTATACTGCAGTCAACCCGCAACTTACAAACTTAATCTGTTCCGGAAGAACATTCGTACATCGAAAAGTTCGTAAGTCGAAGTACCATTTCCCATTGACAGGCATGGGAATGGAATTAATCCGTTCCAGCATTTCAAAAAAATACCAAAATAAAAATAAAAAAAGCAAGTCCCACGCTCGGACTGCAAAAAAACAAACAAACAAACAAACAAAAAACAGAAACATAATCTCCCCAAATCCAAACCCACCCTCCAACACTCACACAGAAAAAAAAATTTAAAGGGGGTCCCTGCCGCTGCAATCCTTCAGAGCAGAGCTCTCAAAGGGCTTTCCCCCCAACATTGGAGGAATCCCTTTGAGAGCTCCGAAGGCGCCAATCGCTCCGTTGGCATCGACTTGCGAACGGAGCCTCGTTCATAGCTCCAGGCGCCGTTCGCAAGTTGATGCCAATTTTCCCCAACGGAGCAGTTCGTAAGTTGAAATGTTCATAACTAGGGCCGTTCATAAGTCGAGGGTTGACTCTATTAAGCATAGAAATACACTTTGCAAGGAAGTATTTTTTGCACAGATTTTCACAGCTGGGACAACACGCTTGATCCTGTTGCTTCAACTTTGCATTACACAGCTGTATAGCTAAAGTAGGACGTAAGATTGTGACATCTAGATAGAGCTCTCAAAGGGCTTTCCCCCCCGACGTTGGAGGAACAATTCGAATTTCCAGCCCTTTAGCCCTGCCTTTTTGGGATCGGAGTTCTCAAATGGCTCCCCCCCTCCCGACATAGGAGGAAGCCCTTTGAGAGTTCCAAAGGTGGCAATCGCTCCATTGGCATCGACTTGCGAATGGAGCCTCATTCGTAGGTCGAGGGTCCGTTCGCAAGTCTATGCCAATTTTTTCCAACAGAGCGGTTCGTAAGTTGAAATGTACGTAACTAGGGCCGTTCGTAAGTCGAGGGTTGACTGTATTAAGCATAGAAATACACTTTGCGAGGAAGTATTCTTTGTGTAGATTTTCACAGGTGAGACAACACACTTGCTTGATCCTGTTGCTTCAACCTTGCATTGTACAGCTGTATAGCTAAAGTAGGACATAAGATTGTGACATCTAGATAGTGTTGTATATTTTCGCCTCACAAAACATTCAAACAATGCACACTTTCTCTCAAAAAGTGGAGGCCATAAGAGTTTAGAGGTTCTTTTGCTCTTTGGCAATAAACTGTTGAATGACGAGTCACAACTGTGTCATGCATTGGTGAAGAAACCCAACAGAATAAACAGAGAAGCAGATATTGGACTTGGGATCAGGTGCTTGTTTGAGCATAAATGGTTAAAAACAATTCATTATACAATATAAAAAAACTATTTGAAATTCTTTGTGAGGGTATCATTTACAAAAAGAGAGCCTGAATGTTTACAGTGTCATTTTCTTTTTAACAAGGTCCCCCTTGGTAGTTTCTGTATTTGATTTGGGCTGTCTTGATGAAACACCACTAAGATGAAGGTGGAGTTTTCCTGATTGTCAGTGTTCATTCTGGATCTTGCAAGATTTGTGGCAATTCTCAGTGTTTACTAGGCTGTAATGAATGTCTTGGACAATGTTACTTGTGACCTTGTGAGGATCAGAAAGGTAATATAAAGGTCTTTGAATATGTGCGGAACATTGCACAACTCTGCTGTGTTTTGAAGGGAAACCTAGTAATTGACCTAAGGCTCGGAGCCCTAACACTGCTTTGTTGTAGCCATACTGACTCAGTGAACAATCCAGTGGAGCATTGTAGACAGTTAAATGAATATTCCAGCCATTCAATCATATGAAATCTTAGAAATAGTAAACCATTAATATCTGTGTCTTGTTATTTATCAGGGAAGTGTAAAGTACTATTCTAGACCCTTATCAACCCTGAAAGGTGCTGTTAGCCTGAGACCAACTTTCTCAAATTCCTAGTAAGCCTCTCAGCTGAGTGTGAATTCCCTTCAGTGTCTTTTTAAGATATGCTGCTGTTACATCATATAATTGCCTTTTCCCACGTGAAATACAAATCTGCTGTTCAAACTACCAGATTTTAAAACTGCATACAATCCAGAGATAGTATCAAAATCCATGCCCCCCCAATTGGTTTTATTGCAGTTTTCAGTTTGACTTAATCTAGATGTCTGACTTTCTAAGAAGCGTATTAATGCAGAGGAATGATACAGTTTCTCTGGAATTTATGTCCAGAATTATGATTTTGTCTTTAGGTGTGGCTCAAGTGATGGACTAGGAGACACGGGTTCAAAGCCTGGCTTAGCCACAGAAACTCACAAGAAATGTGTGTTTGCAATGGTAAAAGTATTCCACAAATAGCTGACGTACCTTGGAAATCCTTTTAGGGTTGCTATAAGTCAGATGTGATTCAACAACACGTAATTTCAGATGTTATGATCTTAGTGAGTAAAATAGTTGAAACTCATTTTCATTAGTATCTACAACTTATAGAGGGACCAAGGCTGATATTCCTTGATTCCAGTACTCATACGAATGTTGAAGACAAAAATGAGATGAAGTTTGTCAGTTTAGCGAATAGTCTCAACCAAAGGCAAATGTTCCTTGTACTTGCAGAAAGGCCAAATTATTCCAAGCCTCTTCCCTTTCCAACCACAGTAATACAAGAAAGATGCCTCAATAGCATCTCTAAACTATCAAGAGAATTCCCAGTAGCACAGCAAAGTTCAAAGTTGCGGGCAAGCATTCCGGTTAAGCCAGAAGGATTCAAACAACTGTTCTCTTTATGCCAACCTAATGCAAAGTTTTCTCCAAGTCACCCCTTGTCCCTCTTGCTTTGGAGAGCATCTAAAGGTTCATCCTCTCAATCACCATCAATAGCAGAGGGTTTCCTGGCTGACTTCAGCTTCTTTTGGGTAAAAATATGCCCCACGTCTCTCAGTTGGACAGTTACCTGATCATTTGTCTGCTGCCACTGAGATTCAGAACAGGTACCTTTGCACTGCCACCAACTAAGTGATAAAGGAACCCACTGGAAAACACTTTCTACCAAGCCCTAGCAAAGGAATATTAGAGCACAGGAGTAAGAGTACTGTCAGTGGCCGGTATGGTTGGGCAGAATGCATGTGGATGCTCTTGCTGCAAGAGAATTTCATAGCATGCCTTTGCTGGGACCTTCACAGATCTAGCCATATACATAAGGAAAGAGACTGAAGGTTAAGAAGACAGGGATATTACAGAGTCCTTGAGATTTCTGCTCACCAGTTGCACTTTCCCCACTTTGTCAGGCTTTAATTTCTAGTTTTTCATCTTCACCTGTTATCAAACCTGACAAGCATTCACAACCCTCAGTTGCTTTCTTGGTGTGAGGTCACAAGGAGCAGTAGAGCTGGAGGTCATCATATTGCCGACACCTCATTTTAAAAACTGAATGACCTCTCCCAATAACTCCACCTCTCCTTGTGCTCCCCCCAAGCAAGGGGAACAAGGGCTTGCAGCCTGATTTATTGACTCCAAAGCATTGGATTTTTGCAGAGGAATTCTGCCATTGTGTATGTGAGCTCTTGAAATACACTACGTATTCAAAATCTTCAATAGTAATAATACATCATCAATGTGTCTGTAGAATATACATTTTAAAAATAAATTTATGGAAGTTTTGGATATATTCCTTTGTATACGTTCGGTGTTCTCACAAAGATGACATTTGGAAGGGAAGGAGGGAAAAGTAAAGTTTACACAATCTTTGCCATCTCTTATAAACAGACATGGTTTGTATACAAAATAAACATAAAAGAACATTGTTCTTCTAGATGAACTTCTTGCCATACAATTTCCCTCTACTGGCGTATAAAGATAGGAATCAGTTTAACTTACAATGTTGCAACAGTGCGTTTTGTGGTTAAAATCTGAATATAATTTTTGAAAATTTGCAAGCTGACATATGAAAGGGGGAAAATTAATACTCCATTATGTGTTATATTTTTGTAACTAATATTGGACTGAAGGACTGAAGTTAAGCAGATGCCTTACTTGAAATGTAAAATTGTTGTGGAATTGAAATTTTAAAACTTTGAAAGTTCTTTATATACGTTGACAAGTACTATTATCTTCTGCAAACGGGGATATGAGTAGGGTCTTATAACTGTAGTTTGTTACGCTGTCAGTGAGGAGTCATGTAAGATCTAGGTCATTTTGCTGTCAAACATTTAACCCAGTGACCTTAAATCACAGAGGAGGCATCTTCTATATAGCAGCATCTTTTGTGCTTTTTTATCCGTATAGGTCAAATCAACGAATTCTGTACATAAATCCTCCCTTTCCCATATATTGAAATATGGTGATACTGTTCATAGCCTTATTTAGGCATTGCCTAACTCATATTTAGAAAATACAGTGGTGCCTTGCTTTACGATGTTAATTCGTTCCAGCAAAATCGCTGTACAATGAAAACGTAAAGCGAAATAAAAAAGCCCATAGAAATGCATTAAAACCTGTTTAATGCGTTCCGATGGGCTGGAAACTCACTGTCCAGTGAAGATCCTCCATAGGGTGGCCATTTTCGCTGCCTGTGCCGCGAGGAATCCGTCCCAGAAAACAGCGGGGGACCATTTTGTTTACCCGGCGGCCATTTTGAAACCGCCGATCAGCTGTCCAAAAAATCATTGTTTTGCGAAGAATCGGTTCCTGAAGCAGGGAACTGACATCACAAAGCGAAATTCCCCCATAGGAAACATCGTAAAGCGATCGCAAAAGTTTGTCGTAATGAGGTTTCGTCGTCAAACGGAGCGATCGTAAAGCGAAGCACCACTGTAAATGAGAAGTGTGCTAGCTCCACACCTTTTATTATGCTGTCCTCATGTGATGAGGATAGCCCTCTTTGTGCATGGATCCCCTCCTTGTGAGTGGGAAACTTGAGGGTCTCAATCGCATGGCAGGCCCCTGCATGTTTGAGAAGCCATCTTCATCCTACCAACACTTTCCACAGGTGAAGAGGAACAATG